TAGATGCGTATACATACGTTTATATATATATACATACATACTTATATATATACCTGTAGATGCGTATACATATGTTTATATATATACATACATACTTATATATATACCTGCAGATGCGTATACATACGTTTATATATATATATACACCTGTAGATGCTTATACATATGTTTATATATATCCATACATACTTATATATACACCTGTATATACGTATACTACGTTTATATATATATATATATATATATATATATTAAATATATACGCGCGGGACGAATGCACTTACGCATGCATGCATGCACGCACAATACAATTTAAGTAGTAGGTGGTTGTATCGATGCACAATGAAATCCCAATCGTTTATCCAACCTACGACTGCATTTTTCTTTTTCTTCTTTACGTTGACGCAAATAATAAACGTTGGTTGGTTGGTTGGTTGGTCTAGTCGATAAAATGCAAGATGCATTTTAAAGTTTACTTGCTAAATTCTTTACGTATTTCCTATTGAAATACACGATTGTCTATCATCATCATCATGCTCATATGATTTCTCATTCGAACGAAGGACATTTCGTTTCATTTTGTCGTACATTCATGTTATCTATTTTTATTTCTTTCTTTAATTTTTCTATGCAAAAAAAAAGGGCACGAGATATATCTTTTTTTAAAAAATTATTAATTTAACAACGGATTAAAAAATTGGAAAAGTTTAACATTCATTTTCCTTTTTTCCATTACTTCTTTACTTCTTACTTTTCCTTTATTATTTCTTACGAGCGCGTGACGACTTTGGACTGAGGTAAAAAACAAAAAAAAGAAAAAGAAAAAGGTGTATAGATACTCGTGGAAAAATGAGTAAACACTAATGAAGATTACGTAATCGGTATCTGTAAAAAAAAAAAAAGAAAAAGAAAAAAGAAAATGGGCTGTCAGTTTCTAGGAAAGAGTCACGCTCGTGCCTTCGGTTCTTCTGTGGAAAATGATGCGACCACGTTACGAGATAAGAACAATTTGTAATCGTGGTATATGTGTATATATATGTATATATGCACGTAGGTATACATATATACTTTGATATATATCAGAATGAAGCTTTTTTACACGCTCATGGTCTCGCTTTTTAACACTTGGCGCTTTCACCGTGACGATGCAACTACTCCCTACCTGTTTGTTCTTCTTCTCTTTTTTTTTTTAATTGACATGATGCTTTTTTTTCGTAGGATCTTCAGAATTATATCTTCCGATTTTATAATCTGTTTTTTTATTGTTGTTCGAGACTTTTTTCTATTCTCTCTTACTATTATAAAATATTAAATAATATATATATTATTAAATAATATATTAAATTAAATAATATATTAAATAATAAATTTTGTGTGGAAGACAATGATATATATTTTTCTGTTCGTTTTTTTTCCCTTTTTGTGTGGTTTCGTTAATAAAAATTAAATCTTTATCTCGAATATTAAAAAAAAAAGAAAATAGAATATCAAATAATAATTTAATTTTGATTTCGATCGACACCTGTTAAGACGACCCGTTAAAGCTCATTATTGGGAATAAATTAAATTCGCACGTGTGTCTATCTCTTACACTTTTTCGAATGATATTCTTTTTTAAAAAAAGAAAACAAATTCGGTAATCGTTTCTTTACTTTCGAAGATAAAGCAGAATCCTCTTCACCCTCCCCCCTCCTACCACCGTGAGTAGTTTATACGATATCGTTAATGATTCTAAATAAAACATAATTTCTTAAAGTCTTCCTTTAAGGAAAATTTCTTTCTAAGGATAAACAAGGAAATTCAATAATTTCTTAATTACATTTTCAACTACATATATATCTGACGAATCTAATTAAATCGACCGTTAATTTTTACAAGTATCGATTCGTAATCGATCTAAAAATACAAATTTATCCTTATACGTTTTGTTACTTGCAATGTTTGTGTGTGCGAAGGTTATTATTAAAAAATAAAAATAAAAATAAATAATAGCATGCGTTTGAAATAAATAAATAAATAAATAAAAAAAAAGATTTCAAAGTAAACGCGTGTTGATTAAAATAATAATGCATCTAAATAAGAAAGAAAAGATTGAGTTTGATCGAAAATTTAGGTAACTTGATTCACCTTTTCTTATTTTTTTTTCCAATAAATTAATTAACAAATTTTATATACCGATTAATTACATTTATAAAAAGTTTGTTTTTCTTTCGATCTATATGCATGTGTTTTACGAGGACGACGACCAACCAAAAAAAAGACCAATTGCCAAAACCCTACGATGTTATATATCGCAATGATAATAGCACCACTCGTTTTTATTGAGGCCACTGTATGTGAACCCGTGTACGTGTACGTGTACGTGTACGTGTGTAACATACGCGACATGAACACGCACGCACGCACGCGCACAAGTCAAACCTTGAATTGTAAAGCAAGAGAGACTGATGCAACGCATCAATCAACGCCAATAAATGTCACAGACTGGTGCAATGCAATTAGGAAGGGTGCACTGGCACGTAGAAAAATATTCCATAGGATCGGCTAAACTATCAATGACGAAGTATAGTCACCGGAGGAAAAAAAAAAAAAATAACAACATATAATTAATGAGACAAAAATTCGATTCGTAGAAAATAATTACAGTACTACTACTATCGCGATCAAATTTTTTTGTTTTCTTTTTTATATTTGCAACGTAATTATTAGGAAAGGATAGGAAAAATATTTTATACGTTTACGATGGCTGGAGAGAGGAATCCCATAAAATACAATCGGATAAGAAAATCTAATTGATTGAAAGGAACATTTTTGAAAGATTAAAATAAAAACATTCTGATATACATCTATCAACGTTTGGTCCGGCGAAAACTCAAAAGGAATACCCAACAAATTTCCTGGCTCTATTCCAAAACTCGAGTAACGTGACTGATTCTCTTGTTTGCATCAGAAACTTGTGAAGGGGTGGTGATCGGTGGTAGTACAATGAGAGAACTCCTCAACTATCACGTAATTATTCTTCTAATCTTCCTCGAGTCGATCGTTCTTTCTATTGGTAAGAAGGAAAAACGAAATATTATAAAAATAAATGCACGTTGTTATTAATTCCCTGAGATATATGTTTTTTTTTTCTTTGCATGTTCCTTGCTGTTACCGCATCAATTCAAATTCTCTCTCCCTCTCTCTTTTCTTTTATCTCTTTCTTGTTATATATTTTATATAACAAAAACAAAAAGAGAAAAAAATAAAATAAAATATTATAAAAAAGAAAGTCGTTTTTCTCTCGCTTCGGGAGGTTGTTTCCTTGAATAAGTCGACGAAAAAAAAACGAACGGTTTAACCAAGAGACAAATGCATAGGTAAGGATAGAATAATCGGGGGAATAACCGCGATTAGTGTTGGAATAATTTAAGTCGTGACATCAAAACACACCGTTCACATTCGAGCAGCAATTTGACTGGGAAAACCTTCAGTGAATGCTCCTGCCGCTCTCTCTCTCTCTCTCTCTCAGAGTCATTTTCACGATGGCGGCTAATTATAAAGCGCACTTGCACTCAAAGAGGATAGGGACAAGCGAGAACGTGCGTTCTTGAAGGCGCATAACGACAAAGTAAAGAGAAAGAAAAAAAAAAAAAAAAGAAAAAGAGAGAAAGAGAAAGATAAAGACAAAGGCACGCATCGTGATCCTTCCTTCAACTTTTAGATGAGTAGAAAAAGGCCTCATTTCTCTCGTTTCTGTAGTTGCGAAAGTAAACTGTTAATGTTCTTAGTATATATTTTTATCCTACACTCGTTCTCGTACCTTTCCTTAACTATTCCTTTCTTCTATCCCTTCTCTCGTCGCTCGTTTCTTCTTCCATATCACAAATTCTTCATGTTTTTCTTCGATTATCAATGAGATGATACTAAAATATTACTATAGAGTAATTTTTTTCACTGTAGAAGATTATTAATAATCTTTACAGTTACAGCGAAAAAGATAAATCAAGAAAGGGGGAATCGTTCTAAGAACATCTGGAAAATGAAATTGAAATGTTAATGGATTGAGTTACGATATACAAAGGCAATACATTCAAAGATCGTAAATGACTACACGATATGAACCACCTGATCACTATCATATATTGACGAAAGAGGATATACGAAGAAGATATCAAGATACGGCATTAGTTATATTTAAAGTAATTTATCATTTTTACAGGATCATATAATTACTTTTTTTAATATATCTTCTTGATATATTAAATTCATATATTTTGATTGAGAGAAAAAAAAGAACATTTTTAGCTCACCTTGAAATTCTTTTTTCTTTCTTTCTTTTTTTTTTTACAGGAACAACAGAACAAGAAAGACGAGGTGAACTATTTGAGTTTTGGTACAAGTCGTAGGACTATGGAGTACAGTAATTATGGAAATCAGCCGGTAATAATTCGTAGGCCTCACGAAGCTTCGAATGTTGTAAATGATACTTTGCCTATGAGAATTTTGAGAATGTATCGTAAGCCTCGTGAAAATTGTTCTATAGCTTAAATGATGTTAAAAATTAATTAATAAATATATATTCGTTAATTAACTTATACTTTGCACATATTAAATAAATATATCCAATTGTTTGTAATCGTCGATGTTAAACTACGTTTCAATATTATTTCACAAATGATTTTATACGTTACATTGATAATGTACGATTACGTTTATGCTCGAAAAGCATTCGATTAAATCGACGGACATAAATAAATATTTGCTTTTTACTTTTCTTGTATAAACGTTAACTTGCAAAGACATTATCTTTTTTCAAATTAAAGAGACAAAATCTATCACCACTTGACTCTTATTTGAAAATAAATAAGAAATCAAATTAATTTTTTGTATACACAAGAAGAAGAAGAAGAAGATACATGGTACAAGTGTCTCTCTTCTAAGTGATCACCAGCAACATTTAAATAATAACACTGAAGTTATGGTTAACTGCATCCCTTCAATGTAGGTTACGAGGAAGTTACAACTAAGTGAAGAAAGTTATCAGGATAGCTTAAATGTTCCGACATCCATTGCAATGGTGTTTCTGGCGGTGGAATAGTCCCATGAGTGCGTACTTCAACTATAGAATATAAAATCTAATTAAAAAATTACCTTTTCATGAAATAACGAAAAATGATCTTTTGACGTACCAAATTCTTGATCTGGAAATACTTCATTCAATAAATGTTTTAACGTTTTCCTTTGGCCTTCTTCATTCACTGGCTTAACAAGTTTTTGAATATATTTATCCTCGCTTGTATAGCACCGAAAAGGAATGTATTTAAATCCTTCTTCGCTGTTAGCTGCTTCCATTAATCTTCTATTTATAGACCAAAACTGATCAAATTTGTCTGTAATTAATCCGTTCCACAAACTGCTATGTTCTTTTTTCTGCATAGACGATACGATTAATCCTCTATGTTTTAAGACATCAGCTTCTTTGACGCAAGCAAGAAAATGTGATTCAACAACTTCTCTGACAAATAAAATTAGTACAAATTAAAATTTACTTTCTTCAAAGATATCACATTGAACTCAAAGAAGCTTTACTTACTTATTCTGACAATGCATCAAGACAGTTTCTGGAAATTTATCAAAATGAACAACGATATTCCATGGTAATTGAATATCATTAGAATATATATCTAATAATACACCAATAGGATAGTGCCACTTTAAAGGAATTCCATTAAATTCAAACCACATTTCATGATCCTGTTTGTTATCGGTTTCTATATGTTTTATAAAATGTTTTCTAACCTACACACCGCAAACAATGTTGATAATAATATTAATAATTATGAATATTTGAAAATAAAAAAAATAACAATAAACTCTTGTACCTTTTCTGTGCACACAGGAAAATAACTTAACCTAGGCACCATAAGATAAAACGGATCAGGACCTTGCAACTCTGATGTTTCTTCAGGATCAAGTGTAAAACAAACGGGAATTTTGCCATCCCAAATTTCTCTCAAAACTTCTCGATCGTTCGCCATTGTTTATAACCAGATATTCCTATTATATTTTTTATTACCACTACGTCAAAACGATTGCACTTTTTAATTGTATACTAAATGATAATTATATCTATAGTAAGAAATAGTATTAACTTTAACACTGGCAAGGTGTATCATAGACTTAACAACTATTGAATACTTCTTGTCCAGGTTTCTTACCATTTTTATATTACGAACAACGTTATCAGAAACTAAATAGAATCAAATCATAGCACCAGTGATAACGCAGAAATGAGACAAAACAATTAGAAAAAAATTTACGTACTAGTAGCGACATCCAGCAATCAAATAATGCAACTAGCGTGTAAGGTACGCACTTGATAAGTTAGAAATCTACTAGAACATACTATCGACAAGTTAGAAATCTACTAGAATATAATATCGACAATAAATTAAAAAGATGAATAATAAGTATATATAGTATAGTTATATTGTAAAAAAATTTAAAATAATTCTATTTAATTTTAAATGTCTAAATACGTGTGTGCCTTCAGAAATGCATTTTTTATACATATATATTTTAAAAAGTAGAAGAAAATCAAAACGAGTAGATGATAAATCCATAGATGATCACCTGTAACAAAAAGAAAACTATATTAATCATACAATCAAAAGTKATACAATAGCCTGAMMTATTAATCGTCCAATTCGCARATGCACTTTTCAATTGAATCCTTTATTTACTTTTTATCAAATCTCTAATTACCGCGCGTTGCAATAAAATGAAATTTAAACGCGTGATTTTACATTTAAATAAAATAAATAAAAATAAAGAAATARGAAAAGTAAAAATACTAAGTTACTACAAAAAATAATATCTATTAATTATTATGAAATATTTTAAAGCTACATTAMATAGAAAAGAAAAATTGCAAATTTAATAAAATACGATAAAAATGAAAAATTTTAAAGACGAAACAAGAAAAAAGAAATTACTGTTTACCGAACGTTATTTAAACTTCAAAATTTAATATTACGAAAATTTTAATATTTTTGACTCTAACACATATGCAYCTTTTTGAACGATATAGACACGAATTTGGTGTCTCAAGGAGATGGAATGGTCCATCATCTCCAATTACAACTACAAATTAATGACGAGCAATTAAATAATATAATAGAATATAAAATATAACTAAGGAGCTATTTTCAAAAAGTTCGAACTTATTGTCGAACCTTTAAAAATAACTCAATAGTTTGTGTAGTTGCCCACTTGATACCACATTTAAGTGGGGGCCTCTTCGGCCTTAGCCTCTTCGGCATAATGCCTCTTCGGCATAATGCCTCTTCTTTCTTCATGCCCTAAACTCTGCTGTGAGGCTTTYTCTAAGCGCATTTTATAATACAAATCGTACAGTTACATTTACTCGAATGCCTCAACAGATATTTGATCTGATCGATGAACCTATTATTAACACTTTGCATTTAAAAAATTAAATAATATCAAACAAATGCAGAAACTTTGTAATACATCTTATGGTCTTACTTTTTTACTCGACCATTTTAATCTTTTATCTTTACTCTACTTTTTATTTACTATGCATATATAACAAATGAAGTATTTTCAGTAGGAATTACTAAAGAGCAAAGCGTTAATATACTTAATATTAAGTAAGTATCTAACGTATTCAGCTATCTTTACTTTTTTGAAAAAGAAT